TATACTTGGTATCCAAACCTGTCCTCCTTCTACCCACACTAGGCTGTCATTGGAGGGAAGAGAACAGACTCCTCCCCCACAGCTCTCTACTCCACCAGCACCATCCTCCTGCTATTCCATCCAAGCTCTTCTTTTACTGCAGAGAGTGACAGTGACATCACTCCTGTCAGTCAGCAGGCTGCCACAGATTGGAGCCTTGCAGCCGGAGTTCTGCCAATTATCCTGATTTTCCAGCAACTTAGGCCAAAAGTCAGCAAGTTCCCCTTCCTGGACCTCATGATGATCCGACATTGACCTCACAGCACTGCCTCAGAGCAAACAAGTCATAGGAAGGATCGTATTTATAATTCCTTGTCTGCAGATCTAAAACTCATCAAAACCAGTTCAGAGACCAAACAAACCCAACAGAGAAAAGGGGATTTCTGATCTGGAAGACAAGAGGGTCCCGGGACCTCAAATATGCATCAAACACTAAACAGTCCAAACTAAATATCTTCCCATGGGGGGAGTAGTTCTTCACTGTCCATCAACCCTCCTATTCCCCCCTCACATCCACATCCTATTATTGTGTGACCAATACCATCCAAATCATTCTTACTTTCATTTCCCAAAGTTATCCGTCTACAAGGAGACCTGTATAGATCACATGATGGCACCAATGAGGATGGAGGAGGACCGGAGTCACATGACTGAGAAGATACTAAACCTCACCCTGGAGATCATCTACCTGCTGACCGGAGAGGTGAGGAGGATTCTGGGAGATCACATGACATCACTCTCATCTCTATTATTAAAACACAGACCTGACCGGAGAGGTGAGGAGGATTCTGGGAGGTCACATGACATCACTCTCATCTCTATTAATAAAACACAGACCTGACCGGAGAGGTGAGGAGGATTCTGGGAGGTCACATGACATCACTCTCATCTCTATTAATAAAACACAGACCTGACCGGAGAGGTGAGGAGGATTCTGGGAGGTCACATGACATCACTCTCATCTCTCTATTAATAAAACACAGACCTGACCGGAGAGGTGAGGAGGATTCTGGGATTCTAACATGATATTCCTATTGGTTCCTCAATACAGAGATTTCCTCTTCTGAAGTCAGGTGATCATATGACCATCACAGTGCCTCCATGTGACTCCCTAAACCCTGAGAGACACAACATGCAGAAGATTCTAGAAGTCACCAAGAAGATGATGGAGCTGCTGACAGGAGAGGTGAGCGGTGCCGGGAATTCTGGGACATTCTCCAGTAACAGACAAGGGATGTGTCTGGATGGTGACTGTATCATTGTGTGTGTCAGGTTCCTATAAGGTGTCAGGGTGTCACTGTCTATTTCTCCATGGAGGAGTGGGAGTATTTAGAAGGACACAAGGATCTCTACAAGGACGTCATGATGGACAATCAGTCCGCCCCTCACATCACCGGGTAAGAGGAGACTTTATTGTAAAGGAGAGAGCAGTACGGAGGATCCACCTAGATCCCCCATCATCTGATAAACACATAGAAACAATGGATTCAGTCTCCGGAGATGGCAGGCAGCGGTGTGGGACCTCTGCAGCTTGTCTCATGTGGACATCTAGGCCACCACTGATTGCTGAATACCAATATTATGAGTCCTGACCCTTACACTGTATAATTTATATTGTACATTACATACTCCTGACCCCTGCACTATATACTCTATGTTGTACATTACATACTCCTGACCCCTGCTCTATATACTCTGTTGTACATTACATACTCCTGACCCCTGCACTATATGCTCTATGTTGTACATTACATACTCCTGACCCCTGCACTATATACTCTGTTGTACATTACATACTCCTGACGCCTGCACTATATACTCTATGTTGTACATTACATACTCCTGACCCCTGCACTATATACTCTATGTTGTACATTACATACTCCTGACCCTGGCACTATATACTCTATGTTGTACATTACATACTCCTGAAGCACTATATACTCTGTTGTACATTACATACTCCTGACCCCTGCACTATGTACTCTTGTACATTACATACTCCTGACCCCTGCACTATATGCTCTATGTTGTACATTACATACTCCTGACCCCTGCTCTATATACTTTGTTGTACATTACATACTCCTGACCCCTGCACTATATGCTCTATGTTGTACATTACATACTCCTGACCCCTGCACTATATGCTCTATGTTGTACATTACATACTCCAGACCCCTGCACTATATACTCTGTTGTACATTACATACTCCTGACGCCTGCACTATATACAGTTGTGTCCAAAATTATTCAACCCCCAATGCTGTAAAGGGGTTTAGGGACTATAGTGTACATTTGGAATTGTATTCAGAATCAAATCCTACAAGGACGTTGTAACTACCCAAATGCAACTAAAATGACATCAATTGTTTATGTAATACAGTAGTAAATGGGTTCTTATGTGGTTTCTTCATTGCCACAATTATTCAACCCCTTAAAGACTACCACTCTGAAGAACAGAGGTTCATACAGGTGCTTTCCATCAGGTATTGAAAACACCTGTGGATGTCACCGAGCAGCAATCAAGCATAATAAGCACCAATTAGGCAGCTTTAAAATGACTGTGATACTCAGCTCCTTCTAGACATTTACTGGTGTGGTTACAAACATGGTGAAGGCAAGAGAATGGTCCAGGAAGACAAGAGAAGAGGTGATTTCTCTTCACAGGAAGGGCAATGGCTATAAGAAGATTGCAAAGATGTTAAACATACCAAGAGACACCTTAGGAAGCATCATTCGCAAATTCAAGGCAAAGGGCACTGTTGAAACGCTACCTGGTCGTGGCAGAAAGAAGATGCTGACTTCGACTGCTGTGCGCTACCTGAAGCGTAGAGTGGAGAGAAGTCCCCGTGTGACTGCTGAGGAACTGAGAAAAGATTTGTCAGATGTGGGTACAGAAGTTTCAGCCCAGACAATAAGACGCACACTGCGTAATGAAGGCCTCCGTGCCAGAACTCCCCCAGGTACCCCCTTGCTGTCTCCAAAGAATAAGAAGAGTCGACTGCAGTATGCCAAAAGCCATGTGGACAAACCACAAAAGTTGTGGGATAGTGTTCTGTGGACTGATGAAACAAAATTAGAACTGTTTGGGCCCATGGATCAACGCTATGTTTGGAGGAGGAAGAACAAGGCCTATGATGAAAAGAACACCTTGCCTACTGTGAAGCATGGTGGAGGGTCAATCATGCTTTTGGGGCTGTTTTGCTTCTGCAGGTACAGGGAAGCTTCAGCGTGTGCAAGGTACCATGAATTCTCTTCAGTACCAGGAGATATTGGATGGAAACGTGATGCAGTCCGTCACACACCTGAGGCTTGGGAGACGTTGGACCTTTCAACAGGACAATGATCCCAAGCATACCTCCAAGTCCACTAGAGCATGGTTGCAGAGGAAAGGCTGGAACATTTTGGAGTGGCCATCGCAGTCACCAGACTTAAATCCGATTGAGAACCTCTGGTGGGACTTAAAGAAAGCAGTTGCAGTGCGCAAGCCTAAGAATGTGACTGAACTGGAGGCCTTTGCCCATGAAGAATGGGCGAAGATACCCGTAGATCGCTGCAAGACACTTGTGTCAAGCTATGCTTCACGTTTAAAAGCTGTTATAACTGTAAAAGGATGCTGTACTAAGTACTAAGATTGAATGTCACTTGGGGGTTGAATAAAACTGATAATGCTGTGAGCACAGAAAAGACATTTGTGGTTATTTCATTATAACTGTTATGTTATATTTGTCTGACCTACAAGTGCCTCTTTAATGTAAATGTAAGCAAGATGACTGAATGATCAAAAGCAATGTCAAACTGGCCAAAACACTCAATTTCAGTGGGGGTTGAATAATTTTGGACACAACTGTACTCTATGTTGTACATTACATATACTCCTGACCCCTGCACTATATACTCTATGTTGTACATTACATACTCCTGACCCCTGCACTATATACTCTATGTTGTACATTAAATACTCCTGACCCCTGCACTATATACTCCATGTTGTACATTACATACTCCTGACCCCTGCACTATATACTCTATGTTGTACATTACATACTCCTGAATTCTGCTCTCCCCCCCCCCCCCACTGCTATATATACACATAATATGGATTCTCTTTTGTTCCTCCCATTTCCTCCCAGCTAGACATTTTATATCGGATGATGTGATTGGAGCACAGACTTTTACATGGTGATAATAATGTGATAACATCCTCCAACTTTGGACCCGTAAACAGAAAGTGATAAAGAGGGAGGAGTCAATACCCCAATGATGGTGGTCTTCAGGATCAGTCCAGTCTTCATCTTGGTTGTTCTCCCCCCATCCTCACTCTCTGACCTCTGGTGGGGCTCAGCCCCGCTGTTCTTCATGACTAAATCATGGAAAATAAGGAAGTGCAGTACTTCTTGTGTTGGGAAGATGGCGATGAGTGATAGAGGGGGTGGGGACCCTCGTCCTATAATCCCCTCATCACTGTCCCTCCTATAAAAGACAGTTCTGGTTGTTTCCTCACTCTCTGACTAAGGTCCATGAATAAAGAAATGACCTGGTAGGAGATCAGAGGAGCCATTTCCTAGTTCCCTTGAGGGTGGAATTGTAAGCTCCTCAGAGACCAAGCTGCCTGATGTGGGCGGAGTCCTGGTTTGGGGGAACCAATCAGCTCCTGTCTAGTAATCCTCTTTGTCTTTGTATTTTAGTCCATGGCCGGGAGATGAGGAAAACCTCAGAGGATTGTCTCACTTTGTCTCCAGACTGGAAAGTAGAAGATGAGGACATCACACAGTATAGTCTAGGAGAAAACCCGGCTCCCTCCAATGTCCATCCGGCACCACCCAGTGTAGATGGACCATCGGATTCCTCGTATCCTGAGGAACCTCAGACTGTGCGGGACCGGGCCGGCCTTCCAACAGGGAAGAGCTTCTCCTGTAGGGAGTGTGGGAAAGGTTTCCATTATAAATCCCATCTTAATGTGCATAAAAGATCTCACACGGGGGAGAAGCTGTTTTCCTGTCCTGAGTGTGGAAAATGTTTTTTTCATGCATGTCCCTTCTTTCCATACATCAGAGATCTCACACAGGGGGAAAAGCCATATTCCTGTCCTGAGTGCGGGAAATGTTTTTCAGAGAAGTCCAATCTTTACACACATCAGAGATGTCACACGGGGGAGAAGCCGTATTCCTGTCCTGAGTGCGGAAAATGTTTTTCACAAAAGTCCAATCTTTACATACATCAGAGATCGCACACGGGGGAGAAGCCGTATTCCTGTTCTGAGTGCGGGAAATGTTTTTCAGAGAAGTCCAGTCTTTCCAAACATCAGAAATCTCACACAGGGGAGAAGCCATATTCCTGTGCTGAGTGCGGGAAATGTTTTTCAGAGAAGTCCTATCTTCCCAAACATCAGAGATCTCACACGGGGAGAGAAGCCGTATTCCTGTCCTGAGTGTGGGAAATCTTTTTCTTATAAGTCACATCTTTACACACATCGAAGATGTCACATGGGGGAGAAGACATTTTCCTGTCCTGAGTGCGGGAAATGTTTTTCAGAGAAGTCCAGTCTTTCCAAACATCAGAGATCTCACATGGGGGAGAAGCCATATTCCTGTCCTGAGTGCAAGAAATCTTTTTCTAATAAGTCCAGTCTTTACACACATGGAAGATCTCACACAGGGAAGACATTTTCCTGTCCTGACTGTGGGAAATGTTTTTCACAAAAGTCCAATCTTTGCAGACATCAGAGATGTCACACTGGGGAGAAGTCGTATTCCTGTGCTGAGTGCGGGAAATGTTTTTCACAGAAGTCTCATCTTCACACACATCAGAGATCGCACACGGGGGAGAAGCCGTATTCCTGTTCTGAGTGCGGGAAATGTTTTTCAGATAAGTCCAGTTTTCCAAACATCAGAAATCTCACACAGGGGAGAAGCCATATTCCTGTGCTGAGTGCGGGAAATGTTTTGCAGAGAAGTCCTATCTTCCCAAACATCAGAGATCTCACACAGGAGAGAAGCCGTATTCCTGTCCTGAGTGCGGGAAATCTTTTTCTTATAAGTCACATCTTTACACACATCGAAGATGTCACATGGGGGGAGAGACATTTTCCTGTACGTAGTGCGGGAAATCTTTTTCAGAGAAGTCCAATCTTTCCAAACATCAGAGATCTCACATGGGGGAGAAGCCATATTCCTGTCCTGAGTGCAAGAAATCTTTTTCTAATAAGTCCAGTCTTTACACACATCGAAGATCTCACACAGGGAAGACATTTTCCTGTCCTGACTGTGGGAAATATTTTTCACAAAAGTCCAATCTTTACAGACATCAGAGATGTCACACTGGGGAGAAGTCGTATTCCTGTGCTGAGTGTGGGGAAATGTTTTTCACAGAAGTCTAATCTTCACACACATCAGAGATCGCGCACGGGGGAGAAGCCGTATTCCTGTCCTGAGTGCGGGAAATGTTTTTCACAGAAGTCCAGTCTTTCCAAACATCAGAAATCTCACATGGGGGAGAAGCCATATTCCTGTGCTGAGTGCGGGAAATGTTTTTTCAGAGAAGTCAAATCTTTCAAAACATCAGAGATCTCATACGGGGGAGAAGCCGTATTCCTGTCCTGAGTGCGTGAAATGGTTTTCAGAGAAGTCCAATCTTTCCAAACATCAGAGATCTCACACGGGGAAGAAGCCATAATCCTATCCTGAGTGTGGGAAATGTTTTTCACATAAGCTAGATCTTTACAGACATCAGAGATCTCACACAGTGGAGAAGCTATATTCCTGTTCTGAGTGCGGGAAATGTTTTTCATGGAAGTCCAATCTTTACACACATCAGAGATTTCACACACGGGAAAAGCCGTATTCCTGTTGTGTGTGTGGGAAATGTTTTTCAGACAAGTCCCATCTTTACACACATCAGAGATTTCACACGGGGGAGAAGCCGTATTCCTGTTTCCTGAGTGTGGGAAATGTTTTTCACAGAAGTCCAGTCTTTCCGGACATCAGAGATCTCACGTAGGAAGAAGCCTCTTTCCTGTCCTGAGTGAGGGAAATGTTCCTCACCGAAGTCCTGTCTTCCTGTACATCAGGGGTCCCACACAACCCTGGAGGTGTATTAGTGCCTTGAGTGCGGGAAATGTCTTCTAGATGAATGTTGCTGGACATCCCAGCTCTCATGTGGGGAAGAAGCACACCCTGATATACACCTCAGATATACTCCATGGCTGATCTTCATCATGGAAGAAACAGTTGATAAGGAGATGAGAGGCCCCCAAAGACATGGATGAAGTGCAGTAAATGTCGGGGTGCAGAGTGGTCAGTAGATCCTGGAAATGAAGGACACAACTTCAGCCCTTCTTGGGTGTCGGAGTTGCGTTTCCTGATAATGATATAGCGGGTTACAGAGCTAGAAGCCGGGAGAGCCCAGATCTCGTTATCGGGGAACTTTACACAGACAACAAGAACTTCTGAAGTTGATGTCCTTCATTTCAAGGCTCTACAGAACAGTGGTGACCCCGAAGCATCTCTCTGTCTTCAGTCCATCCTTCTCCCATCCCCCAACAGGAGGGAAGGAAAACTCCGCCCCAAACTAGGGGGGAACTTTCCTCTCATTATTTCCCTTGGCTTCTGTGTGGGTTTGGGTGGTTGGAGGAGTGCGGCACGAGAGGGAACACAGCTTGTTGTTCTATGTCTACATATGGGGTCTGGGTAGAGGGGATCCACCGGAAAATATTTCTACTCTTTGATTTTGTGCAAATCGTTTCTGTTTTCACTTTGAAGGGCGATATTGTGTGGTTTGTAAAAGGGATTGGCCCAATAGATACCACCCCACTTAGAGAATAGATGAAGTAATATGACCAACATTAATTCAGCCATGTCACATGTTGGTCTTTTCATACAGTGATTTCCTATGATCATTGGCTCCATCTAGTGGCCATAATGCGGTATTGAACTGTTTTTCCTGACTGAGGTATTTTGGAAGTAATACATCATTATGGCCACTAGAGGGAGCTGATGAATATAGGAAGTCACTGAGTTTATTAAAATACGGCCAGAATTTGTCAAGGCTGGACACATGCTTGTCACATTCCCCAACATATTTTTTGCATAGACCCCTTAGTTTACTGTGTCAGGGGTGGTTTCATACAAATACCTGAGATCACACTCATACATTTTCAAGTACAGTAGACATTGAAGACATAAATTACATAAAACCACAGAATTAAACTATCCATTGATTTTAAACCAAAAATACCTCAATTGGCCTTTAGATGATGCTAAGTATCCTAACAATTAGCACCATCTAGTGTCCAAATTGTCAGGGAACACCCGAACAATTGATTTAGTCAGCCAAATCAATCAAATCACAGTATCTCCAATACAAAAAAATTATTTATAAAAATAATTTAACTGACTTAATTATTCTGAAAAATTCTTTAAGAACTCAAAGATCTGTGTAGGTATAGACTGCAGAGTATGAAAATCAATATTTATTTACATACGTCACTTACAAACACCATAAACAATAGTCAGATTGTGATTTACATGACACTAAGATGTTTCTGTAAAAGCTCTAAAATAGAATGAATTAAATTCAATAATCAGTCTCCCTGTAAACAACATAACCAATGAAAACGGACAATAATCTGTCTCCTGCAGAAGGAATAAACTATGCAGAATAGTCCACCACTATGGCCTAAGAACAGGAACATTTTTATAAATGACTTAACTTGAAGTGATGTTATCATGGGGAGAGTTATTAGGTTACACAAAGGAATGTGGCAATTGACTTACTAGTCTAAGCAAGCAAAATCAACAGAAAATATGTAATTAGACTCCAAGTATCAGGTCATCTTTTACAGAACTGATGATCAGACTCAAAGATAGCTGCTGATTAATGGTTGGGGTTGAGCTTCCACAAAATGACGTCTCTTCTTCAGTTGATGAGTGTCTTTAGATGATCTGAGTCTGAGATGATGTCTACCTTCCAGATGGCTGTGTAGATGGTCCTCCCTCTGTGAGTGTTCCTGCCGGTTTTATCTAGTTATGACTTATACACTCATCAAATGTGAATAAACCTGGCCCAGAAGGAGGAACCTTCTTGTGATTGGGGAATCTGATTCTCTAACCCATGTTTACTCAAGCATTACCTCCCATGGCCACTGGGTGTCATCCTTGGATAAGAATTGTCTGGTCTGAGTTTATTTGGGGATGGAAGTAACTAATCTGTGATCAGGAAAAATGAATATTTCACTATAACAATTGGCCCTTGTGAAATCTATAGAATGCCTTGGAGAGTAGATATTATTCCTCATTTACAATCATTACGTTTTGGTGTAACAGTGATTAAATGGAGAATTGTAACTATCAGGAGGTTGGATTACATAAAGCGATTAGAATAATAGTTGTACACACAGAGGAGAGATAATAAAAAGAATAATTTGTATTCTGATCTACTGATTGATTACGGCTTTGGTAGCATGCATACAATATTCCTAACAATACCGATAAACTCCAACACACTAAATATATATCATGGGATTACAAATCAGCAAACATACCATAATATACTTCCTACATTCTTATGAGACAATCTGGTATTTTATCCCGATCACGTCTTTTTGTATAGTCTGAAATATATGGAAAATGGAGGTTTCTTTTTGTACCTTTTCACCAAAACGAAATGAGTCTCAGCAGTGTTACTGGAGTCACCTTGTTACATAGTTACAGAGTTCATCTGGATGGAAAAAAGACACCAATCCATCCAGTCCAACCAACAAAAAAACAAAACACACAAATAGAACATTACATGAGGAAATGCACATCTTACTGTAAAGGTCTCAGTAATCTATAAACAGAAGAATCCTGAAAAGAACTCTCACAGATCTGCAGCTTTGTAGAGTTAGCATTCATAATACGGCTCAAAAAATGAAAGAAAGACTTATTAATCAAAGTCTAGCATCAAGTCAATGAGAATCCTGAGATATTGATCTGGTCAGTGAAGTCGCAGAGGGGGCTGTTAATCAGTTTCAGCTGCTTTGGTGTTAATGAAATTATCAACAGGTGCACTAGATGGGCAACAGTTAGACAACCCTCAAAACAGGAATTTACAGGTGGAGCCACTGACATTTTTTTCCCTACTCATCTTTTCTGACTGTTCTTCACTAGTTTTTCTTTTGGCTCGGGTCAGTATCACTACTGGTAGCATGAGGTCATACCTGGACCCTACAGAGGTTGCACAGGTAGTCCAACTCCTCCAGGATGGCACATCAATACTTGCCATTGCCAGAAGGTTTGCTGTGTCTCCCAGCACAGTCTCAAGAGCATGGAGGAGATTCCAGGAGACAAGAGCAGCATGAGGTGATTCCAGGAGACAGGCAGTTACTCTAGGACAGCTGGAAAGGGTCGTAGAAGTCCCTTAACCCACCAGCAGAACTGTATCTGCTCCTTTGTGCAAGGAACTTCATGAGGGTGGCCTGAGGCCCAAAATCCTCTAGTGGGCCCTGTGCTCACTACCTGGCACCATAGAGCTGGATTGGCATTTGCCATTGAACACCAGAATTGGCAGGTCCAACACTGGTGCCCTGTGCTTTTCACAGATGAGGGCAAGTTCCCTCTGAGCACATGTGACAGACATGAAAGGACATAGCATCTGAAAGGACAGAGCAGCTTCTAGGCTAGAGGTGTCACCTGGATGCCAATACAATGTTGTCACCTATGTAGCCAGAGTTTGCCACCTTCTTGAACCTAGAAGAAGAATCCTAGTCATTTCGGCTACAAGAGTCAGCAGGAGACCGTGAGAAGGCTCCGAAGTGTCTGTCAGCTTTGATTTATATCCACAAATCAAAGGAATGTATTTCATCTCTCATAAAAGCTAAAATATTTGTTGCAGAGAGATGAAAATACTTCCTTCTGATTGGACACACTGTAGGCTACATCTGCATGTAAAACTGTATTTGTAGCCCCTGTGGAATCCCAGAGAAACACAGGAAACGGTTATATGGTGCCTGATTGCAACAGCTGAACAGCGATTGGTACTGTTGTGTTCGGACTAACACACTGGTGTCGGAAATTCTATCCCTGACCAAGTGATCCAAACCATTCCTGGCCCATTCAGCTCTGGGCACTTCAGAACCCAGAACATCCTATGGGCTGCTACAGGAACACCCCCCAGGGTTGATTGGCCAAGGGCTAATGTGCAGCCCACATCCATATTTCAATAAATTGAGGACCCTGAGATATGGACGGGGTGATTTGTACGGAGCCGGTTCCATGTGACTGGTGAATCGTGGACTTTCTCTGACTTGCTCCAGTCTCAGGATAAATCTTGGTAAAAGTTTTATTTCTGTTTTTATTCCCTTTTTGTTTTATTGTGAATAGCCAATTGTGTGTCTTTTTGTATTTTCTGCAACTTTTTTTTCTTTGTACATATTTAATGCACTGCCCACTTTTGGGATATTAAATCATAAAATGAATAAGTGACTTCTGTGTACTAAGCTCGGGCTCATAGAGAGAGAGAGATGTTGTATTGTAGAGTCTATGTGCTCGGTTTAAGTTCATCGCCAATCTGTATGCAATTGTACTGTGTGTTGGCAGATTGCCTGCAGATTGTAACATAGCAGATCTGCCAGACAGAGATCTGTGTGTGTGTGGTGGCCCAGTAGACCAGTCTGTGGACAAACTGTTGGGTGGTGG